CTGCTAGCACATATCTGACAAGCTCTGCTAGCACATATCTGACAAGCTCTGCTGTCACATATCTGACAAGCTCTGCTAGCACATATCTGACAAGCTCTGCTAGCACATATCTGACAAGCTCTGCTAGCACATATCTGACAAGCTCTGCTATCACATATCTGACAAGCTCTGCTATCACATATCTGACAAGCTCTGCTAGCACATATCTGACAAGCTCTGCTAGTGCATATCTGACAAGCTCTGCTATCACATATCTGACAAGCTCTACAAGCATATATCTGACAAGCTCTGCTAGTGCATATCTGACAAGCTCTGCTATCACATATCTGACAAGTTCTGCGAGCACATATCTGACAAGCTCTGCAAGCAGATATCTGACATGCTCTCCGCTAGTGCATATCTGACAAGCTCTGCTATTGCATATCTGACTAGCTCTGCTAGCACATATCTGACAATATCTGACAAGCTCTGCTAGTGCATATCTGACAAGCTCTGCTATCACATATCTGACAAGTTCTGCGAGCACATATCTGACAAGCTCTGCAAGCAGATATCTGACACGCTCTCCGCTAGTGCATATCTGACAAGCTCTGCTATTGCATATCTGACAGGCTCTGCTAGCACATATCTGACAAGCTCTGCTAGCACATATCTGACAAGCTCTGCTATCACATATCTGACAAGTTCTGCGAGCACATATCTGACAAGCTCTGCTAGCACATATCTGACAAGCTCTGCTAGTGCATATCTGACAAGCTCTGCTAGCACATATCTGACAAGCTCTGCTGTCACATATCTGACAAGCTCTGCTAGCACATATCTGACAAGCTCTGCTAGCACATATCTGACAAGCTCTGCTAGCACATATCTGACAAGCTCTGCTATCACATATCTGACAAGCTCTGCTATCACATATCTGACAAGCTCTGCTAGCACATATCTGACAAGCTCTGCTAGTGCATATCTGACAAGCTCTGCTAGCACATATCTGACAAGCTCTGCAAGCATATATCTGACAAGCTCTGCTAGTGCATATCTGACAAGCTCTGCTATCACATATCTGACAAGTTCTGCGAGCACATATCTGACAAGCTCTGCAAGCAGATATCTGACACGCTCTCCGCTAGTGCATATCTGACAAGCTCTGCTATTGCATATCTGACAAGCTCTGCTAGCACATATCTGACAATATCTGACAAGCTCTGCTAGTGCATATCTGACAAGCTCTGCTATCACATATCTGACAAGTTCTGCGAGCACATATCTGACAAGCTCTGCAAGCAGATATCTGACACGCTCTCCGCTAGTGCATATCTGACAAGCTCTGCTATTGCATATCTGACAAGCTCTGCTAGCACATATCTGACAAGCTCTGCGAGCACATATCTGACAAGCTCTGCTAGCACATATCTGACAAGCTCTGCTAGTGCATATCTGACAAGCTCTGCTAGCACATATCTGACAAGCTCTGCTAGTGCATATCTGACAAGCTCTGCTAGCACATATCTGACAAGCTCTGCTAGTCACATATCTGACAAGCTCTGCTAGCACATATCTGACAAGCTCTGCTAGGCATATC